TCTCTGTTCTTCCCTAGGCAATGCAGACAGATTATGGCAGGTAGGATTAGCTGGCAGGTTGCTGTACATAAATATTACAATGTTTTGATGGATGAATGTCAGTCTGAAGGAGTAAGCATTGCTAGGCACATTGCATTTTCATGCTCTCATGTGATGGCGAGTCTCCATGGAACTGAAAGACAATGAATGAAAGGGACAAAGCAATGTCAGGCTGGACAGGAAAGTATTACAAGATGATGGATGTCTTCCAGCCAGGAAATAAGGTGGGCTCTATCTCTATCTAATTTGCTGCAGCTTCTAATGCACAGTGTGAGAAGCTTACAGTGTGCGATGAAATCAGATTCCTCATGGATCAGTTTGCCATGGGGTAACACAGACAGTTCTTGTTTCAGACACGTTGATAAATAGGATGTAATGGTCATTATAGGGTTATCAGTTGTTCTTTAGCCCCCAGACTGGCACAAAGAGACCTGTCTTCCCGGCAGGGGCTGGCGGGTGTGGTGTTACGGAGTCAGTTTGCTGATGACTCACATGTTACATACTACAGTTTCCTGGGAAAACACACAGATGATGACCTGCACAGGAGGGGAGAGGGACATGCACTGCAGGAGATCCTAGCAACACAACACTGACAAACCTTGGACTGACATACAAATGTTATGGGACAAGCTGGACTTTGCTTCTTGTGTTATAAATACCCAGAATTATGTCACCGTCCTGCAGGGTGTAGCTGCTACCAGGTGGCAACGCACAGTAGGAGTGTGCCAGGTGACACAGCCGATTGTGGCTCTCTGCCGAGACTTGTACACCAATTATTCAGCTGTCTGATGTATAAAAACTAGGGCGAAAAAAGGGAAGTATCGCTGGCATCAATTACAGTGGTTGTAAAGGATGAAGGTTGTTTTTACCATTTTTATCATTCTATGCATGAAGGTAAAAAAAGCCTTCTGTGTGCAGCAGTGCCCCTAGATCCCTCAATAATTACCTGAGCCTCACCGCGATCCGCACAACAGATGCCTCCTCATTGACTGAGACAGCAAGCGGGAGCCATTGGCTCCTGCCGCTGTCAATCACAGCCAGTCAGCCAATGAGGAGATTACCTGAAATAAAATAATAAATAAATGAGTCCGTTGGTCCTGCCCCCTGCAGGATCAACGGACACATTTATTTATTATTTATTTCAGGTACTTATATATTTATATATATATTTGCGCAGTGCTTTACATATATATTGTACATTCACATCAGTCCCTAACCCTCAAGGGGCGTACAGTCTAAGGTCCCTAACTCACATTCATACATACACATACTGGGGGCCAATTTAGACAGGATCCAATTCACCTACCAGCATGTCTTTGGAGTGTGGGAATAAACCGGAGTACCCAGAGGAAACCCACGCAGGCACAGGGAGAACATGCAAACTCCATGCAGGTGGTGCTGTGGCTGGACGCCATGGACTTCAAACCAACGACCCTAGTACTGCCAGGCAGAAGTGCCAGGAGGAGCCAGGAAAGCCTGAGGGGGACTCAAGAAGAGGAGGATCCAGGCTGCTCTGTGCAAAACCACTGCACACAGCAGGTAAGTATAGGCATGTTTGTTATTTTACAAAAAAAAAAAAGAACCTTTAGAATCGCTTTAACCTCCCTGGCGGTATTCCTGAGTGTAGCTCGGGGTAAACCTTCAGTACCAAAAGCGGTAACCCCGAGCTACACTTGCGATTACACTGCAGAGTTGCTCTGGGATCCCTCTTGCACTTACTTTGTCCTGCGCTCCCACGATGTCCCCCCTGCAGCGTCCCCGGCCATCTCCTCCGGCCAATGCCGGCATCCGTCTTCCAGGTTCTGGTCCCTGCGAGCATCAGGACGTACGGGGGACGGAACTGGTGGAAAATTCAAAAATTTTAAAAGTGACATTCACTCAATACACTAAAATCACATAGTAAAACATTACTGTATCAATCCATTTCACATACATTTTGTCCCTACTGCTTTGTCCTGTGCCCTGCCTGCATTTTTACTGTTCTTTCTGCCTGGAAACGGAGAAATGTCCATGGCATCCAAAAAGCGTCCCTTTAGGTCAAAAGTGGTTTTAGACCAGCTAGAGAACAGCGATAGTAAATCAGAACCACTTGCAGAATTGAGTGATAATGATTTGTGGGGAAATTCGTCATCAGACCCTGAAAACGATTTTGCGACTAAGATCAGTGATGTGCAAACTTGGCGCTCTTTTTCAAATTTCAGTGTTTTTGGTTTGAATATATTATTGAATTACATTTATTATTATTATTTTTTATGATTATTTATTAAATTATAATTTATGATTTCATGTTTCAAGTTTTATCATACCCGGGATGTTTACTAGACTCTTGTTTCGTATAGATTTCAGTGAGTTATTCCTAAAAATTACAGGCCTACAATAAAAATACGACATATTTCCATGCAAAAAAATTTACCGCTTTGAGCACAGAAATACTGACATTATCATGCCGCTAGGGAGGTCAAGGTAGATCGAAACCTTAACGGGATGGCATTTAGTCTGCTTATGCACCGTGTATCACACAATTCTCATGGCTCTTTTTCATAAAATAGTGTTCTGACATTTTTCTCATCATTTTTACCATCTCATCAGCTCATCATTTCTCTGGACCAGCTTCATAATGGTGAAAATGGTGGGTCATTCCCGTGCCATGTGTGTCCACACCACCAATTTTAGTCTACTTCGGACATTGACAAATCAGAAGCACATATGGAAGACAGTTGTCACCCTATAACAGGAAGTGGCTAAATAAGGACCTTCATGGCAGGACAACTAGGTATACTTTAAAAGACACACACTACATGGTTAGAAGTGAAACTCAAGGCAAGCATCTAAACAGACAATGGAAATAAATACTGTTTTATCTGTAAAACCATACCACCTTCATACTGGCCACAATTACTAATTTACAGTTGCAAGAAAAAGTATGTGGACCCCTTGGGATTACGTGGAGTTTTGCATGAATTGGGCATAAAATGTGCTCTGAACGTCATCTAAGTCACAACAATAGAAGAACACAGTCTGCTGAACATAATACTACACAAACATTAGATGTTGCCATAGTTTAATTGCACATAACATGTAAAAACATTCACAGTGCAGGGAGGAAAAAGTATGTGAACCTTTGGACTTAATAACTGGTTGATTCTTGGGACCACTCGTCTTCACAAAACTGTTTCAGTGTAGCAATATTCTTGGGATGTCTGGTGTGAATCGCTCTCTTAAGGTCATGCCACAGCATTTCAATTGGGTTGAGGTCAGGACTCTGACTGGGCCACTCCAGAAGGCGTATTCTGTGCTGTTGTAGCCATTGTTTTGTTGAATTACTTGTATGCTTTGGGTCATTGTCCTGTTGCATCACCCATCCTCTGCGGAGCTTCAGTTGTGGACAAATCGTACGTTTTCCTGCAAAATGTCTTGATAAACTCTGGAATTCATTTTCCCATCAATGACAACAATCCGTCCAGGCCATGAGGCAGCAAAGCAGCCCCAAACCATGATGCTCCCTCCGCCATGTTTTACAGTGGGGATGAGGTTTTGATGTTGGTGCTGTGCCTTTTTTTCTCCACACATAGTGTTGTGTGTTCTTCCCAAACAACTCAATCTTGGTTTCATCTGTCCCACAGTATATTTTGCCAGTAGTGCTGTGGAACATCCAGGTGCTCTTTTGCAAACTTCAAACGTGCTGCAATATTCTTTTTGGACAGCAATGGCTTCCTCCGTGGTGTCCTCCCATGTACTCCATTCTTGTTTAATGTTTTCCTTATTGTAGATGTGTCAACAAAAATGTTAGCATGTGCCAGAGATTTCTGTAGGTCTTTAGCTGACACTCTGGGATTCTTCTTTACTCATGCAGCATTCTGCGCTGTGCTCTTGCAGTCATTTTTACAGGACGACCACGCCTAGGGAGAGTAGCAACAGTGCTAAACTTTCTCCATTGTAGACAGTCTGTCTTACCGTGGACACATGAACATCAAGGCTTTCGGAGATACTTTTGTAACCCTTTCCAGCTTCACGCAAGTCAACAATTGCTGATCATAGGCCTTCTGAGAGCTCTTTTCTGCGAGGCATGGTTCACATCAGACAGTGCTTCTTGAAACCAGTAAACCCAAAACAGGTGTGTGTTTTTTAAGGGCAGGACAGCTGTCAGCAACACATCCAATATCATCACACACTGATTGGAGTCAAGGTTGGCTCACTCCTGGCTCCAATTAGCTCTGGGAGAAGTCATTAAGCTAGCGCCTCACATACTTTTTCCTCCCTGCACTGTGAATGTTTACATGTTATGTGCAATTAAACCATGGCAACTGTATAACAGAGGTAGCATATTGATAATATTTCGGCAGTGATAGGAGGCATTAAAGTGTAACTAAAGGGAAAAACTTTTCTTTTAGTTTTGGATAGAGTGGAGAGGGATTGGAGCCCCTGTTAGTTTTTATTGCTGTCTCTACCCCCGCTAAGGAGATTTAGCCTCTCTATTTGTCCTGTTTACCATTATTATTGAAAGTGAAAGTAAAAGAAATTTTTGAGTTGTCCTCAGAAAAGTAAAAAGAGGGGAAATCATCCAATAGTTCTGGTGACCTGGGGGTCCCCAAGGAATTCCTTTCATTTGCAGGGATTTCCTCTCACGTCTGTTGGGCTATGAGACAGGAATTGAAGGGAAATCTCCGCAGTGGGATACAGAGGGCAAAAAATCTGGCAGAAGTTATACCCCCCCTTGCTCTATCCAAAATGAAATAAAAAACAAAAAACATTTTTCCTATAGTTCTACTTTAAAGTAGAAGTACAGACCAAAGCTCTTTTGGCTGTACTTCTCCTGTGGATCACAGGAGTGCTGTTCATTCTGCACTCCTGTCACCTGTTTTCAGCTGACAGCGGGCTGAAGCCCGCTGTTGGCTGGTGTCACTCAGCCAGTCCAGGCTGGGGAAGGATCCTGACTAAAAAGTCAGGATCTACCCCAGAGTTTGGAGTGGCACCTGGCCAGGGGCGGACTGACCATTTGGAAACTCGGGCACTGCCCGAGGGCCCGGGGTCAGTAGGGGGCCCCATGAGATGCCCCTGGTACCTTTATCATAGGCTTTTTTGAGTTTGGGAAGGCACAGGGGCCCCATGATCCCCTATTGCCCAGGGGCCCCATGAGTTGTCAGTCCGCCCCTGCACCTGGCTCAGCCTCTCAGAGAGCCGCTGAGAGCCTGACCCAGCCGCTCCCTCCCCTTCCACAGCCCAACAGTCCAGTGAGTGCTGAGGGGGGCAGAGCAGACAGCAGTGACTGACAGTCACCAATCTCTGCTCAGAGTGGTTGTGAGAGCTCAGTGATCAGCAATCATGTGATCGTTGAGTTCTCACACTTAGAGCCTGCGGGGGACAGATGCAGCATTGGACCAATGTTGCATCCACCTAGGTAAGTATAATTTGGGGGAAACAATCAAACCAATATTTCTCTTTTAACCACTTGCCCTCCAGAGGATTTACCCCCCTTTCTGATCAGGTAACTTTTTGCAATACGGCACTGCGTTACTTTAACTAACAATTGCTCAGTCATGCAACGCTGCACCCAAAATGGAATTTAAGTCCTTCTTTCCCCACAAATAGAGCTTTCTTTTGGTGGTATTTGATCACCTCTATTTATTTTTTGCGATATAAACAAAAAAAGACCAACAATTTTGAAAAAAAAAAAAAACAGTATTTTTTACTTTTTGCTATTAACCGGTTCCACACCATCCTATAGCAGAAATACTGCTACAGGGCAGCATGGGTGCTCATCAAAATCAGTATATATATGTGATTTTGCAGTTCCGGGTAGGGGGCACAAGCGCCCTACTCGTGCCTGAGTTGTGACAGGTGCGGTTCTGGAAACCTCCCTGCACCGATCCCATACTGAGTGGAGGGTGGGAGAGAAGTGCGTGTGGGGATGAATACCTGGTGTCGGCCATCAGAGGATGGAGGCAGATGCTCCAGATTCTCAGTTGTAGGGGAGGAGAGAAATCCAGGGGGATTTGAAATATCCATGGCTTTCTTTCCTTGCAGGGATGACAGTACAGACGAAACGACTTTTGATTGGTCAGCACCGCCATGGTGCTGGCCAATCAGAAGCCATTTAGCCCCATACTATCATCCCTGCAAGTTGAGGAGAGACAGCCGAGAGGATTTCAGCCCTCTCCTACAGCTGAGAATCTGGAACATCTGCCTCCATCCTCCAATGGCTGACACCAGTGTATACATCCCCACACACCTTTCTCTCTCACTCTCCGCTCAGCATGAGATTGGTGCAGGGAGGTTTCCCGCACCACTCCTGTGTGAACTCAGGCTATGACAAGCCTGGGTTCCCACAGGAGCAGTGGAGAAACTGTATGAGATTTGGACAGGAATCGCATTCCTGTTCAAATCGCATGCTTATCTTTGCGGTACAACTTGTGTCCATACATTTTATATGGGAGAATGTCACCAGCACACTGAGGATCACCAATATGGGTCCAAATGTTTTATTGAATGATCACATACTGTAGTTACAGCAAGGCAATGTTTCGGAGTCTCGCAGGACCCCTTCATCAGGCTTGTGACTGATGAAAGGGTCCTGTGAGACTCCGAAACGTTGCCCTGCTGTAACTATGTGACTGTTCATTAAAACTTTTGGATCCATATTGGTGGTCCTTGGTGTGCTGGTGACACTCTCCCTTGCTGATTCTGTTCAGTTCCATCCGAAGGTCGTTGCAGCACCCACTTATACACACAGCCATTTTTAACACAGGAACGTTTGCGTTTTGATTGTACACTTGCATACATTTTATATGGATGCAAATTGCACCACAAAGTATCAGTTTGGGTAATGGGAGCATTTTCATACTGAAAATATTTGTATTGTCACTGATATCAGTATCAGTGCATCCCTACTACTGATGCCTGTCTGTGCAAACCGATGGTTGTGACACTGCAGTGGAGCTTGAGTTGCAGGCAGGAGTCCCATCTAGAGCTGAAAGGGGGAAAGGAGCTGTGCCAAAAATACACAAAAGTCTCCTGTGGCCACCAAGTGTGGCTGAACAGCAGCACACAAGATACATTGGTATTGAAGGATGCAATCTACTGTTGGGATGTAGTGTGTGTGCGCAGCTTTGGGGGGTGACCAGCTTGAGGTATGCACTCACTTTCACATTCCCTTGCAGGGTTCTTATAATTTATTGCTGGACTGCATGCTGAAAACATTTCACTGCTGTCTGCCTTGCTCAGCGCTGCCCCAGTGATCGTTCTTCTTTTATTGATTGCTTCTTTCATTGGTACCCAATTTGAATTTGCTTGGTGAAAGTTTGTATCTATTCTGATTGTTGTGCATTCATATGATGAGTCACAGTGCAAAAATGTCTCCTCCAGGGAATTAACATTAAAAATAGGAATTCAAAATACGCAGAGACCAGAGCTGTAACTAACAGGAACCAATCAGATTTCAACCAGGTTTATATCTGAGTAAACATTAAACAAGAATGTGATTGGTTACTGTGGGATACAACTGCAGTACTGTGATATTCTTCTTCTTTTCAGTAATAATGGATCAGCCCTATAGCTTCTTCGTTACTGATTTAAAGTGCATCTATAGGCCAGACTTTCTTTTTGGTTTGTGAAGGTTTAGAATGGGGGTCAGCAACAGGCCAATCACAATATACCCATCAATCATGGTCATGTTAAAGCATTATTGTTATTATTATACAGTATTTATATAGCGCCAAAGGGTTTGCTCAGCGCTGTACAATAGCAAGGGGGACAGAACATGAGACAAGACAGTAACAATACAATACACGAGGGGTTCGAGGTCCCTGCTCTTTCGAGCTTACAATCTAGGAGGGAGGGGAAAGTGGTACAGGAGGAAATGGCTGTGGGGGATGGAGTGGTGGGAGGAGTGGAGGAGGTCAGTTGTTAGGTGAGGGTGGGGTAGGCTTCCCTGAAGAGGTGGGTTTTCAGGGTGCGCCTGAAGGTTAGGAGGGTAGGTGACAGTCTGATGGATTGGGGTAGGGATTTCCAGAGGATGGGAGAAGTCCTGGAGAAGTCCTGCAATCGGCCATGGGAGGAGGAGACCAGGGAGCTAGAGAGTAGGAGGTCCTGTGAGGAGCGAAGGGCACGGGTAGGGTGGTATTTGGGTATCAGGTGGGTTAGGTAGCTTGGGGCGGCATTGTGAATGGCTTTGTAGGTCAGAGTTAGCAGTTTGAATTTGATGTGCTGGGCAATCAGGAGCCAGTGGAGGGATTGGCAGAGGGGGGTGGCGGATGTGGAGCGGTTGGTGAAGTGGATGAGTCTCGCCGCTGAGTTCAGGATCGACTGGAGTGGGGATAGCGTTTGTTTGGGTAGGCCAGTGAGAATAGAGGGTTTTGAAAGAATGTACTAGGTCCTTGTCTGCTGAAGGTTGAGAAACACTTTTACAAGTGATACAGACACTGCCTAGTTATCCACAAAGATTAAGTTTGCTCAGGGGAGGGCAGTTCCACACAAGCCCCACCCCTGAGCTTTGTGGCACAATATCAGGGTATGACAATCTGACCCAGCTGAGAGACACACACCCACAAGCATCTCATAACTACCAAAACTTAATTTTAAGTGCCAGAGGCACCTTAAGTGCTAGTTGGCAAGAATAACACTGATTAATAGGGAAACATTTTAATAGTGGGGATAGAGGAAAAGAACTTTTAAGAAGTGTGAAACATTGAATCTGTTCGGGGTGATACAACAAGTACAAATCTGTCCTGACTTGCTGAGCATTTCACTGGTAATGAACCTCAGTAAAGCCAAGTCTGGATGCAGAATTATAAGAGTCTACGCCCAGCTAATCATAACTTAAACAAATACATGCTAGTGAATAAGATGTCACCTGATGCCGGATGACAAATAATTTTCACGCTTATCCCCCAGAGATATGAATCACTCTTTTGCCCTAGAAATGCAACAGTTGTCTGATTCACAAAATCAGCAACAGACCAAAACTGTATTGTTCACTGGGACATTTACTAGCTGGTGCTTCACCTTTTAGCTCAGACATTGCCTGTGATTATTAACATTAAAGACAAGACAAAGTTTTAAAGAGAGGAACTTCAGTCCCCGTAAAGCTAAAGCATATTGCCCTGCCACCCCATCTTTGGCACTGCCATCCTGCATATGCTCAGACAACCTGAGAGATGGGTTCCACAAGTGCACTGTCACAGACACTGGTAGCACATCATTTTCATCTAGGTAAGAAAGGAGGAACTGCGCTGCAGCACAGAAAAAGTCTGAAACACCTAAAAATTTACATTTTTATGTAATTGTGGGAGAGGTGTGGTGGGGGGGGGGGTGCAAATAGCTAGTTTTATTGGGTGAATGTCATCTTTAAATGTTTGATCTCATTGCAGAGACAGAGTATGTTTCTATGCAGACTGGACAAATCTGCAAGCAGACATTTGTTGCCACATATAAGCAATAAAAGATGATCTTTGATATTCTACTGTATACAGTAAATTTCCACTCGCCTTCTTGCATCTGGCGAGTGGAAATAATGTGGGGGTGTGTCCCATCGGAGGCAGAGACTTGGTGGAGATTGGCAGAGCGTAGGCTTGGCTGGCTCTCCACTGGCTGCAGCTCTCAGACTGGAGGCGGGAACAGCCTCCTGCTGTCAGCCATTCAGCAGCGGAGCCCAGGGTGCCGCCATCTGACTGTTGAAGGTGAGGACTGGAGACCAGGCACTGTGAGTCCAGGACACCCAGGATCAGTGTGGGTGGCCATGTGTGCCAATATATACACTATATAGCTAAAAGTATTGGGACTCCTGCCTTTACACACACATGAACTATAATGGCATCCCAGTCTCAGTCTGTAGGGTTCAATATTGAGTTGGCCCACCCTTTGCAGCCATAACAGCTTCAACTCTTCTGGGAAGGCTGCCCACAAGGTTTAGGAGTGTGTCTATGGGAATGTTTGACCATTCTTCCAGAAGCACATTTGTGAGGTCAGGCACTGATGTCGGACGAGAAGGCCTGGCTCGCAGTCTTCACTCTAATTCATCCCAAAGGTGTTCTGTCGGGTTGAGGTCAGGTGTCACATACCTGATGG